AAGAATGGTATGATTTAATGGAAATAGATAACGAAAAAGATAGCGAACCAAGTGATTCAGAATATGATACTGCTGAAAAAGAACCAGATATTCATTTCGAAAAAATCAAGAATCCATACATTAATAGAATAGCAGAAGCCAGAAAATTTAATGAAGGTGAGGTATGCGATTATTATGCATTTGTACCAAAAGGATACTATGCCGAGGGTGAGCTATTAGCTTTCTTCGAATCAATCGAAGAAAAAATTGCAGATATTTATAAAAAAGAATTAGTTCTTAAGGGTAGATTAAAGGTAAGAATCATGTTAATAGCATATATGAAGAAAATTCAACCAGAAATGTCAAAACCCAAATATAAAACTTTTCTATTCAAGCATGAAACTATAGAAATTATTAGAGAAGATCGAATCAATGCAACTATAGAAAAAGGATATAATGAAATTATAGATCAAATAGAAGGTGAGGCATTACAAGAATCAGGATGGTCTTTTGTTCGAGCAGAAGAAGTATTTCTTGAAATAAGCGCATTCAGACCATTACGAGATAGTAGTTGGCTATCTTTACCAGAAGATTTAGATAAGCCACAGCTCGGTTTAATTAATCCGCAAAATTTCAAAGACAATGAATGCTTTAGAGATTGTGTTAATATACACCATGCAAGAGAAGATGCACTAAAAGCAGGACAAAAACCTACACATCTTGAACGTGTAAGCAAGATTAGACGATATGGTAATATAGCTAATTTTGAAGGCATAAATTTTCTAGCAACACTACATGATGTTGATAAATTCGAGAAAAATAACCCAAACTATGCTATAAATATATTTAGGCCAGTGTATAAAGAAGTGTTCGGAAAAATAAAAGTAGATATAGACCTATTATATATCTCTGAAAGAAATTATCAAGTCGAACATACTGTATGTTAGATTTATTATATTTAACAGAAGGTGAAGAGAATTTAAATAATCGAAAAAATACAAATGATATACCAGAAGGATTAAAAATGCATTACGTATTTATAACAGATTTTATTTGATTAATATGTAAGTGGAATAACTATCATGGAAAAAAATACTTTTGCCGAAAATGCTTACGATTTCCTTATAGTTGACTAGATTTATTAGAAAAGCATATTCTAACATGTCTAGGACCAAGTAAAGCACCACAATGATTAATCCTTCCTGAAGAGGGTAAAAACTATATGAAACCCAAGTATTTCAAAAACATGCTAAAGAAACCTTATTTAATTACTATGGATCTTGAAGCAGAAGAAATCGAAGTAAAGAAAAAGATAATGAAGAAAATACTATAAAATTAGCAGAGCAAAAAGCAATTTCATATGGATATACAATATATTGTTCAGATGGGACTACACAAAAACCAGTAATTAATCGAGAATCAGAAAATATAATAAAAGACTTAATAGAAAACCTTCAAGAAGATCTAGAAGTTATTTTAGATAA